AGAGAGAGAGAGAGAGAGAGAGAGAGAGAGAGAGAGAGACTAAATGAAAACTTAAAAAATTAATTGTACAAACATTTAGCAAACTTCCTGAGTGCAAGAGTGGTGCCATCATCCCAATAGAAACCATAAGCCTCCTTCCCACTAGATAGGTCCATCCTTGTGTCATTCAGTTTACTAATAAGTTGCAAATTCATGACAACCAGCTCTGCTAGAATCACCTAAAGCACATGGTAAAAATACAGTTCCCCAAGTTCTATCCCACACTCAATAAGTTAGTGTTAGGAAATTTTAAATAGCACCCTCATGTGATCTTGGAGCAAGTTTCAAAATCATTGGTTTATAATACAATGTTCTACCTTGGATGAATATTACATATATATATATAATAGATACTCAGAATATATTTATTGTACATACTTTATATAATGGTGAGTTCTGCATCCATTGATTCTACCAAGTATAGATAAAAATGTTTGCTAATTGTCTGTAATGAACATGTGTGGATATTTTTCTTTATATGATCAGCAATATAAAATCTTGAAATCCCAGTCTTCCTTCCTCTCCCAATTAAAAACTGGTATTAAACATGTACCATTACATCTGGCGGGACTTTAAACGTTTAAAGTCAGGGATCATTAATTTGCTCAGTGTGAAGGTTTGAATGGGTATGGCCCCCATGGACTCGTGTGTCTGAATGCTTGACCCACAGGGAGTGGCACTGTTAGGGGGTGTGGCTTTGTTGGAGTGGGCATGGCATTGTTGGAGGAAGTGCATCACTGCAGAGGCAAGCCTTGAGGTCTGACATGTTCAAGCTGCGCCCAGTGTGACAGTCTCCCTCTGCTGCCTGTGGGTCAGGGTGCGGAGCTGTCAGCTCCTCCTTCGGCACCAGCTCTGCCTGCGTGCTGAGATGCATCTTGTCCTGATGATAATGAACTAACCCTGTGAAATATTAGCCAGCCCTAGTTAAATGTTTTCCTCTATAAGAGTTGCCGTGGTCATGGTGTCGCTTCACAGCAACAGAAACTGTAGCACGAATAATAAAAACCCAAGGACATATTGGGGTTCAAGCTGAAAATCAGAACAGCAAAGCAGCCAAGTCACCAGAGAGCTCTCAGTTCTACCAAAGCTATGGGGAGATCCTATCCTCACCGTAGCTGGAGACTAATTGCCCTCAGACTATGGCTGGAGACTGAATACAGAATGCTGCCCCATAGCCTGCAGTGCTGCAGGCTAGCAGACGGAACAGTCCCAGTGTTGTACTGTGATATGAATAGAAACTTAGGAACTTAAATAATGTTAACACTCTGGAAAAGGTATTCTGGGAAATGAGTGCTGAAATTCATCATTGCTATAAAACTAAGATACCTAAGTCACACTTTCATGAATATATTTTGATTAAAAGCCAAAAACAACAAAAATGAACATTACTGACCTGTGATCCCTGAATCTCATGGTGGAAACGCTGTGTGGTCTCTTCAACCAAAGCTGTCAATGCTTCGTATTCAGGTGATAAGCAATCAACTTCTTGTTCTATGTCTATATTAATTCCATCCATGTATTGCATTTTAGCCAAATTAACTTTTTGAGCTATCCACGATGCTCTGAAGGTAGGATCAATGATATCCTTCAGGGAGACATCACCTTTGGAAGACACAGACATAATTCTACAGATGTTTTTTCATTGTTAAAAGCCAGTTACTTCACTAAGCCCAGAGCCATCAAAATGTCTTGGAGACACATGGTAATATTTTGAATAATAAGCCTCTAATTTGCTTTCCAAATGAAAAAAAATGTTTTGTCAAGTAACAGACACTGCTTACTAATCTTCAAAATGGTCATTAAGAGTAAAATCACTCGAAATTAGAAGCAGAACTTGCAGACCCTGACTAAAAGTCAGCACACTGCAATTAGGCAATCACATTTTGTTTAATTCTTTTTTAAAAAAAAAAATCTATTTCTGGATTAGATTTAACAGTATCTACAATTAATTTTAGGTCTTGAAGAAAAGAAAGGCATAAAAAGGACTATAGTAAATAATTCACATTTGTTTTTTTCCACTGGCTAGGCACATGTATCTTCCAGTAACATACCTTTTAGCACGACTCTGGCTCCTTTTGAATGAGCATAGCACATAAGTTCTGAGTCATATTTTCCAAAAACTGCCACAGTTGTAATCTGTGACCAGTCATAATATTTCCAGGTCTTCTGTCCAACATCAAACACAAAGACCTACCAGGAAAACAGGGGTGGGCACCAACACTTAATCTGAGATTATCATACGGATACCCAGATATATTAACTACCCCCATATGCCAGGTATTGTGGTGGACACGGGACACAGAGAGTACAGGACAAAGACGTCAGGTTACCTAATGGAGCTGCTGGCTACATGGACCTGAAAGAAGATCTGGCTAGTGTGGAAGCCTGAAGACAAGAGTACAGTGACTATAAATGTTTAGTACCGCAGATACCTAGAATTTAGAGAAAGTACAGAAAAGAAACAGAAAAGGATTCATCTGGGGTAAACGAACGGCCATGTCAGGAATTCAGCCCTATTGAGAAGTTAGTATCCTGAGGGAAATGGAGAGGACAGACACTTTCTTTTTAAATAAAACCTCTTTATTGTAATGGACTCACATACAAAGGTCACTCATCTATGCTAAGGTAGCAAACACCAAACTACATCTCAGTGAACTTCTACAGAGACAGAATGGCCTTCTGAAGCCATTAAGTTTTGTAGTTTTACTATGGATTGATTTTTTTTTTTTTACATTTATCCTCCAAGCAAGCAAAAACAAACAAACAAACCTAAACCTGTGACAGAGTTGAAATGAGAAGAAACATCCACTTTACACGTTTATGGTTTTGTGTCCTTTTGTCTGTTTTCTTCATCGCCTAGTGTTCAGACACACACATTTTTAAAAGGAAAAGGAATGCGTTCTAGAAAAGCCCCTTCTGCCTAAGTGAGAATAGATTAAAAGGGACGCAAACTGGAATCACAGTAGGGTAGTGTTTGGATGAATGAGAAATCATGAGTGGGGTCTCAGTGACAGCCGGAGCAGTACAGCTCACATCACTAAGAGTCTGAAGATCTTCAACTTCCGTCTGTTTTAGATGGGGCCATGGACACTGCTTGTTTCTCCATGTGCTTTTGATGAAGCTGACTTAGAAGAGCAGTAAGTCCAATTTTAAAGTATCTAATTTGTTCCTCCAGCATTCTCCCCTTCCTCAAAGATCTCAAAGATGATTCTAGAGGCACAAAACATTCCCTGATTGTTCTCCGTTTACCTCAAGGTATTAATTTTTGGATTTAGTAAGTACTTAATGAATTCCATTAAAATGTAGGTGTGCTCTGCACTAAAGGCACAGAGGTAACAAATACCAGCGTCCACTAGGAAATTAATTATGGGAGCATTAAGGTGTGTGTGTGGGGGGGGGGGGATGCAGGGTCCTGTTATACCATATAAAGGGAACCTGCTAGCCAGGTGATTCAAGAAATCCATGATGACTGCAAGTTAGAGGAGGTCTGCAACCTGGAGGATGAAAAGGAAGGTGTACTTATAGGCAAATGAACATCTGCAGATGAGTAACAAAGCCAACATCTTCACAACTATTTATTCCAAGATTCCGGAACTGAAAAGGAGGCAGACACAGAAATGCTAAAGAGAACAGAACACATAAAACTAATGATAGGTGGCACTCTCAAGCACCACTGGGAGGCCCACAGAATTGTTGATTTTGTCTGGAGATCCATTAGTGTTTGAAACAGGGATGGTACATGACACTGGCACTAAAAATAGAGACTTAGGGGACCACGGGAGCAGGATGGGAAAGGGCTGTGTAAAGCACTTACCACATAGTAAAGCAGACATTTAATTTTCTCACCCTCCCTTTCACCTTTCAAAATCAACTATGCATGCTTCATTTCTTTCTCTGCCAAGCAACTATCCAATAAACTGCACACAGAATGTGAAACTGAATGGCCCAATGTTTTAATTCTCCTAACTAAGATTCAATTTGTTAAAAGAAAAACAACAACCGAATGTTGGTGACACACGCCTTTAATCCCAGCACTCGGGAAGCAGAGACAGGCGGATCTCTGAGTTTGAAGCCTGCCTGGTCTACAGAGCGAGTGCCAGGACAGGCTCCAAAGCTACGCGGAGAAACCCTGTCTCAGAAAAGAAGTAGAAGAAGAAAAAGAGGAGGAGGAGGAGGAGGAGGAAGAAAAGAAAAGGAAGGAAGGAAGGAAGGAAGGAAGGAAGGAAGGAAGGAAGGAAGGAAAACAATAGCAAACAGCTAGGGCCTGTGATACAATAGCAACCACTCCCAGTCTTGAAAATACAAAGGAAGGGGATGCTGGGTCTTCCACGGTGGAGAACGGTGTCTTATGTAGGGTGTCTGTTGCAGTGATGAAACACTGTGACCACAGGGATCTGAGGAGGAGGAGGAGGAGGAGGAGGAGGAGGAAGGCTTATTTAATGCATGCTTCCACATCACAGCTCATCCTTAAAGGAAGTCAGGACAGGAACTCAAGCAGGGCAGGATCCTGGAGGCTTGCTCAGCCTGCTTACCTAGGGAAGCCAGGGACACTTGCCCAGGGATGGTGACAGCCATTATGGGGTGGGCCCACGGCAATCACTAATTAAGAAAATGCCCCCTGCAGGCTTGCCCACTGCAGGATCTTCTGCAGGCATTGTCTCAATTGAGGATCCCTCCTCTCTGACACCTCTAGCTTGTGTCAAGTTGACAAAAAGCGAGCCAGTACAAATGGTGTTTACCTTTAAAAAGGAGTATCTTCCCACCCACCCACC